AGAAGGATGCAAAGCCGAGATTAATTCGTTGGCTGCTGTTGTTGCAAGAATTTGACATTGAGATACGCGACAAGAAGGGCACCGAGAACGTAGTAGCATATTACCTATCCAGACTAGAACCTAGGGAGACGGAAGATTTAGTGGATATAAATGAGATCTTCCCGGATGAACAGATGTTGAGAGTGGATGAAGCACCTTGGTACGCAGATATTGTCAATTACTTGACTAGTTCCATTCCACCGCCTAATTGCTCCAGTCACCAAAAAAAAAAATTCTTTGTCGAGTTAAAATACTATTTCTGGGGAGGATCCAATTCTCTATAGACGAGGAGCTGATCAGATAGTGAGGAGGTGCGTACCTGAAGAAGAAGTACATGAGATTCTTGAGCACTGTCACTCATCCGCATATGCAAGACACTTTGGAGCTTCAAAAACAGCTGCAAAGATTCTACAATCAGGTTTCTACTGGCCTACACTGGTTAAAGACACATTTGAGTTTGTTAAGAGGTGTGACAGATGTCAATGCACTGGGAATATCTCGAGGAGAAATGAAATGCCACTGAACAATATTTTGGAAGTGGAGATATTTGATGTTTTGGGAATTGACTTCATGGGACTTTTCCCCCCTTCGTTCTCAAACCAGTATATCTTGGTGGCTGTAGATTACATCTCAAAATAGGTGGAAGCAATTGCATTGTCAACAAATGACTCAAAGACAGTAATTGGATTCTTGAAGAAATATATTTTCACCCGATATGGTACATCGCGGGCTATAATCAGCGATGGGGGCAAGCATTTCTATAATCGCCAGTTTGAGCAGCTGCTGAATAAATATGGCATTAAACACCGCGTTGCTACTCCATATCATCCACAAAACAGCGGGCAAGTTGAGGTATCTAATCGACAGCTGAAGAGAATACTACAAGTCATTGTGAATTCATCTAGAAAGGATTGGTCTAAAAAGCTAGACGATGCATTATAGGCTTACAGAACAGCATTCAAGACCCCGATTGGCATGTCTCCATCCGCCTAGTCTTTGGGAAAACATGCCATCTACCATTAGAAATGGAGCACCGGGCATATTGAGCTATGAAACAGTTAAATATGGACTTGAATGCCGCCGGTGAAAAGCGTCTACTGCAACTGAATGAGTTGGATGAATTTAGAATGGAGGCTTATGAAAATGCAAAACTTTACAAGGAGCGAACCAAGAAGTGGCATGATATGCACATTCAGAGGCGAGTATTCGAAGTGGGGGAGCAAGTACTACTGTATAACTCGAGACTCAAGCTATTCCCAGGAAAACTACGATCATGGTGGTCGGGTCCCTACACAGTTACAAAAGTCCTACCATATGGGGCTATACAAGTGAGCCATGAGAATAAGGGTACCTTCACTGTTAATGGGCAAAGGTTGAAACACTACTGGGGCGGTGACTTCTCTAACTAAAAGTCAACCGTTCAACTCGAGACGGCAGAATGAAGCACTTGCAGAAAAGTCGAGCTAACGACTATAACTTAGCGTTGGGCGGGAGGCAACCCACTGTATCCTTTTTATCTATTTATTTACTTTATTATGCTTTTTGCATTAGATTAGGAAGTTTACTTTCAAATTCATTTAGTATTTTGTTATGTGGTCATCGATCATATAGGCACGTTAAAAGAGTCCAAGCACTGTTCACACGAGTCCTTAAGTATCATACACAAGTTCGGGTTGATTTGAGTTGTTTGCGTAGTTGAGTGTGAAATTCACGCATTTCGAGGCAATTTATGTTTTCTAAATTTCACATGTCAATGTTTTAAAAGTATGTTTTTGAAAAATTGGGGGCATTGAGAGCCGGGTCCTTTATAAAAAAAAAAAAAAATTTTGGACAAAAATGGCATTATTTTATTTCTTTTGAAAAAAAGGGGTGTCTATGCGGTCGCATAGACACCAACCGAATGCAAAAGTTAAAAAAAAAAATTATACCTATGCGACCGCATAGCTTTTAGCTATGCGGCCGCATAGAACAAAAAAGGCGTGGGTTTTTAACCCACGCCCGGATCATTTTCTTTTAATTTCCAAATCATTCTTCCCGACTCCTCTCTCGCCCAAATTCATCTTGGATACGATTTCTACACTTAATTGCATTTCACTCACCTACACTACACAAGAATCTTGAGGTTGGAGTTGCACTATCATCAAAAGGAAATCAACTTTCCATCTCCATTCAACCCCTACAATTCCAAGGTATGTGTTCTAGGTTTATTCACAAGTGAAGTTTCAATTTTGAGGATTCGAAGGACAATGGGTTAGTGCTTGTACGTTTGGATTTGAGGTGCTTGTGTTGTGCGAAAATTTGGAATGATTCTAAAACTAAATTCTTTCAATTGGCACCAATTTCACACTATGCATGCAATGTGTCTGATAAAATGCCACAATGACCACTCTATGTTTAATTATGCTTCTTGCATTGCCTGTGATTTGTGGCGGACTTAAATTACATAATTGGTTGCATTCCTATGGACATTAATTTGAAAAGCACATATCTCATAGTCCTAGATGCTATATGGTTGAGTGTGTGTCGTTTTAGGCATGACTTAATCTCAAATTGTTGAAATTTTAGAGACTCCATACAATGACATACAACTTGCTTGATCTCTTGTCAAGGTTAAATGAGCCACACATATTAGTGAGTTTGGGCTTAGCATACACACGAATTGGACATTTCAAACACCAAAATTGCCTATGACTACACACATGATTAAGACACTGTCCACAGCACCCTCCGTCCCTTATTTTACACTACCATTTGACACACCAAACGAACTCCGATTGAGCTGAAATTTGGGTATGTGATAGACCTCATTGCATACTTTCATATGCCTGGAGGTTGCCTGGGACAATCTTGATAATTCTTGATGGTGCCCGGGGCCGAAAGTGTACACTCATTCATGACTCCAACCCTTTCACTATGAGCATATTCACCCAAATTTTCTTAGTTTTCGTATGGGCTATACATTTATACTATTCTAATCATCATACATTGTTCATTATACACCGTGGTAGTTTACTTGCATATTGAAACAAGTTTGGGGGATTTGTGAATTACGTGTTTTTCCTTTCATGTGATTTCTCGCTGTACAACAAGATATTTAATGCTAGCTATTTTCCAACTTTGCAGGATGCCACCAAAACGAACTTCAAAAGGAAAAGAAAAGGTTGGCTCATCATCCGGCACAACACGTACTCGAGTGCTTGAAGGAGGGATATAGAGATTTTTGACTTCCGAGGCAGCAGCCCGATATGAAAACATAGTGAGTCGATGGACAGTGACACCAGAGTAGGTTGTTAAATTGGAAGACTTTCCTGATTTCGAGCTGACCACTTTGGTGCATAACCGTGGATGGGGTAAAGTAGTGGAGCAGCCACATCGAATTTATGAATTGTTGGTAGGCAAATTTTACGCCAACTTCAATACAGAATTTGACACACCAGGGTCCGACCACCTACATCAGACTTGGGTCAGGGGAAAATGGATCACATTCTCACCCGAGGTTATTCAAGACTACTACCAGCTCACGTGGGACAACATAACCCCTATACCAGGTGATTTCAATTGGCATGAAGTGGCGAAAATCTTATTGGGGCGATAAAATGCATGGCCACTCCCCACTACCGAGTGGCACCAGATTGAGCTGACACCATCTATAGCCATCCTGTGGCTGTTTATGTGCCACAACATTGAGCCGACCTCTCACAGGACCACATTCACAGATCCCACAGCTGGATTCCTTTATCACTTGGTACGAGGTAATAAGGTTGATCTTGCCACTCTCTTCTATAATCAGATACATCATGTGGGTACCTTGGGAGACAGGCACAGCTCAATGATCTTTCCAAGCCTCATCTCCGGAATATGCATAGCTGCTGGTATAAACATTGCATCCGGGGAAGTGGCTGCCAAACCCAGCCCCATCATAAAGCATAGTACCTTGGAGGCTCAAGATAGAGCTAGGATAAAGCACTGGGAAAAGTAAAAAATTGAACGACGCAGACAGCAGGAAGAGCAAGGTCACGAGCACGCAGAGCAAGAGATGCCTCAAGCTCCACCACCACAGGTTGAGATAAATGCACAGTTGTGGCGCCAGATTTTCACCACCACCACAGGAACAGTCGAGACGTACAGAGTCTCCAGCAGGCTATGAGGACTTTGACGACTGAGATGCATACAGCCCACCGTGACATCTGCATTTCCACTGATATATCACGTGCTGCTCGCCAGGATGCCCAGGCAGCTAGGAGGGAGATGGAAACTATGAATGGTCGACTCAGTGTGTATGTGGGCAGGGTGGATGGCATCTAGATGAGGGTAAATGAAACTTGGGAGCGTCTGGGCCGATTGGAAACACGTGTTGAGGGGATCCATGATGAAATGACACAGCAGTCAGCATTGATGAGAGAGATCTTGGCACGCCTACCTCCACCTCTAGCTGATGGTACTGCAGGTTCTAGCTTCCCATCGCAGCCCCCGTATTGATCAGGGGAGTATCGTTTGCCTCATTTGTACTCATTTTCCTTAAATTCTGCCATCTAAACTTAAATTTTCGCATTGAGGACAATGCCTTGTATAAGTTTGGGGGATGGTGGCATAATTTGAAAAAGACATTTGGCATGTAATTAATTGCATTTCCACAATCCAGATTTAATTTGACTAATTGTTGCATGATGCATGCTTGTGAGTGAATATTGATTATGCTTGTGTATGCTTGTGTGAGTTTAATCGCCTTGCCGGCTATGATGTTACTATTGGATTGGTATATTTAAAAACTTTGGAGTTGGTGTTAATTAGGCCAACTAATACTTGCTGATGTAATACTTGACATTCTTTATGCACGCCATTCATACTTTACATGTTAGGTAAGTGATTGAGGTTTTGAGCATAAAGTAGGAAAATAGTTATAACCCTCTATTGAATTAACCTGTAAACTACCTTAAGACAGTTTGGTGATAGTTGAGCTATTATAGGAGAACATTAAGATAAGCGAGGCTCCCTGCATGAATTATTGTGTGGACTGCCTAGACCAGTGGGATGAAGAGTAGGTGAAAATCTTAAATTGAGGGTTGGTTTTGGATACCAGATGTCTAGAAAAATAAGGGCATAAGCTTAATTTGTGAGAATAAGACACTTCTTTTCTAGCCTTTATGATATTTCAAAATCTGGTGCCCTAAGGTCAACTGATCTGGGAGTCACCGGCCCACAGCTCGATACATGGGTCATATAGAAAGTAAGGGATAAAGAGGTTAACAAAAAGTCATCTGATTGAGCATTTATAACTCGGGTAAATAAGCCTGCAAGGGTTTAAAACTTGGTGCCCTAAAACCAACTGGTTTGGGAATCACCGGCCTAAAGCTCGTTACATGGGTTATATAGAAAGCAAATGAGAAGATGATAAAAAAAAAGCAGAGAAAAGTGAGAAAAACAAAAAGAGACAATAACAAGAAGAAAAGCCCTTGGACAATTGGTGTAAGAAACTATACCTTTGAGGCGAGGCAAGTAACCTAGTTTAGTCTTGAGTGTCGAAGCAATCAAAACTAGGAGAGCCTTCACTTGTTGACATGTGAACTTGTGATAGTGAAATTAATCCAAATTACGAGAGGGTGAGAACTATAGTTAGGTAAATTCATAATTTTTAAACACAACCCCAGGATAATTAAGTGAAAAGAATAAGTTTGGGGGGTTGTGTATCTCTCGAGCGAGTAAGGAGACATTTGGAATTCATAGTTCGATGGGATTATTTGAATGAATTATATTGCTTTATTTATTTCCACAATTAATGTGCACTTAATTTGTGTGAATTTGGTGGTTTAATTCTGAACTTGAGAAAATTGGATTAAACTCGACATATATAATTCATCATAGGGTCCGATAGGGGATAGAAATATACCCCTATGCTCTATGTAAATCTTTAATTGCTCACAAAAAAATTATATGCGTTCTTGTATAATTGCATCTGTCATAGAAATATAGGCTGGTGATTTATGAGAGTAGGTTCAATATATCTCGAGAGAGAGTATTGAATAGATTTAAGAGCATTGATTTGTCAAATTCTCATAGGATTATCAAAATTGAGAAATTAGGGTTTACTTAATAATTATTTGGGGATTCGTGATCCTAGTGCATTCGTTTTTACATAGATTTTCATAAATTGACAATACATTTCATTTATTTTCATAACATTTCGTAATTGAGTCATTTGTTAAGTGAATTTGAGTAATTAAGATTTGATTTGAAATTAGGGTTTTTCAATTTGGGGATATCTCCAAAATTAGGGCTTTTAATTCTAAAATTCATTTTAAGTCAATTAGTTTCGGTTAAGGCTAAAATAAATAAAATTGAACTACTCTTTCTCTGTAGGACGATACTCGGACTTCTAAAGTCCACTTTATTACTTGTCACGACCTGTACACTTGCGGTAATTTAAATCGAAAGAAATATTTCGCGAACCGCACTCATTGTTGAGATAATCTTTTCTGTGAGATTTATTGGTTTTCCAGCAGAAGATCTAATAGATTTGACGACATTAAAAACCTCATCATTCCTAATGGATCCAAACGATTTCACCTGCTTGGCACTTAAGAGTTCTAAAATGCATATTCTTCGCATTTGTCTCCAGTAATTATCGTATGGACTAAATGAAATGGCGGCATGGTTATAGGAAATAATTTCAAGAGCTAGAGTTCCTGGCCTAGCTGCAAAAGTAGGATCTTGAGTTTTCAATACCTCTTTGGCAATTTTGGGTGAAGATACAACAATGGTTGAAGTTTCACCAAGCTTCAAGTGCATTAACGGTCCATATATTTTGGCTAAATCTCTGAAAGAACGATGTGGAAGTGAACTTACGAGGTGCATGTGTCCAATAATAGGCAATTTCTTGGGACCTGGTGGCAATTTTTTACCATCTTTGGATTTCTTCCATTTGGTGAGAAACAGGAAGACCAAGGGTAGAAAGAGAGCAAAAGTTGTAAAGCTAAAGGGAAAGTAGAGATCCATTAGGGCAAAAAAGAGAGAAGGTTTTCAAGGCTCAATGCTTTGAAACACATAAATACACGAATATATATGACCATTAGACGCAAAGATATACACATCGAGTTTTATTTTATTTTATTTTGAAATGGCATATACATTGATTTTGTTAGTGAACCTATGGCAATGTCAAATGACACGATTTCTTCTAGATTGTTTAATTATTGATCTCTAAAAAGCTATTTCTTGATGTTTTGTGCTATACTTCAAAAAATCAATCTAAAAATATGGACCACTTAATATGCAAGAGAAAAAAATATCATATAAACTTGGAACAGAAAGTCTAACAATGACGAAAAGTCCGTCACATCACAAATTAGGTAAGGCTTGAATATGTGTGCATTTAGATAGGAAGACTATTTCTTCGGTAATACTGAAGAAACATTTTAAGATGCTTATGTCAAATTGAGTAGATATGATTAAAGTAAATATAATTAAAATATTTAAGTTTTAGACGGATAGGTTTAAGTGGATTAAGGTGTATTATTACCATTATGTGTTTGGTGCATCTTGTTATTCTCTCATGGAATGTTTGGGACGCTATACGATTAAGGGTTATTTTTATTGAATTTGACTTAGACATCGTAGATTACTCGGACTAATTTAGTTTGGAGTATTATTTAGTATTTATACTGAACTAATATTACATTAAAAATAATTTTTATCCTTATTACCAAGGACAACCAAAAGTTAAGGAATACTCCCTCGTGAAATTTTAACACGCAAACACAAATCTTGGAAATAAAGTATTATTTTAACGTTAATCATGCTACCTTCATCTTGCCACTTTAGTTATTTATTTTTATTTTTTGACAAGAAATGTAGAGCCTCATTCGATGTTTTGTGGCTAAATAATGCATTTTGGAGGAACACTTCCAACGTTTGGCTAAATAATGCATTGGAGGAAAACTGAGAACTTTTTGTGGCTAAGAAATGCTTGGCCGCGCGGTAGGGTTGTTTCAAGGAAGAAATCCTATCCATAAATTAAAGTTTCACATTAGAATATGTCAAGTGACATAACATTAACTTCTAGGAATAATTTTACAGAAAACCAGATAAGAATGAGTTAGCAGCATATTTGGAGTTGATTTTAATTCATAAAATTCTCAAGTTACAGTATTGGAGTCATTGACATGCTGCTTATTTTAAACATCTAAAATTTAACTTTTGAAAAAATACATAAAACCCTACTCCCTTATTCGGACTTCTATTCTTATGTAACTATAGTGTAAAGAAGTTGGAGATACGAGTATCACAAATAGAAAGTTGGGCACATAACTGTCACACTTGTCAAAAGTTGGGAACTCGTATATGCATATTAATTTATCACTTAGTTAAAAAAAATATCTTAATTATATATATGCTAGGCAGGCAATGTTGAGGAAAGTTAATTGAAAAACAAAGTAATGATCGATCCCATCCTTTTACAACTTTTTGGACATCTAAAGAAATAATATGGAAATTGTTTCAATGCACTGGTTTCATTATTCATCGAAGAAATAAATATTTGTTTTCATAATCTAATGTACTAATTACTGATCAATAAATTTAGGAACGAAAATTAATATGTTAATGAAAAGCTTTGAGTTCCATAAATTAGTTTTTCACCATACTCATCAACCTAATGTCGTTTTACCTTTAACAAGTAAGAAAGATTAATTTTCTTACTCATTTCATCTCTCACCTATTCTTACTTTCAATCACTTTTCCTTCCTATGTGCATTAATGAAACCTTCAATGGGGTAGATAAATTGTACTAGGTTTAGTAGAAGGATGATGCTACACAAACAAGGCGCCATGTGACACGGCCGAGGTGGTCAGCCCTTGATCTGAAAATTTAAATTTCAGATCACCCCCATCACGGGACCTGTCAAAGGCCCCTATTCGAGTAGCAAAATTCTTAGTAGAAGGAGAAAAGAAAATGTCTTAACAAGGCTTAAGTTTAAGAGTGCGAGCTCGATTCAACATGAAAGTCTAAGTCACAAAATTTAGGTCTTAAAGAGAAGGCAAACTTGATATACCATGGAAGGACCCACATGAGGTAAAGTCTATAAACCCCAATTATTTGTGCTACCTTACGTAGATGAAAATTGCTTGGAAATTTTTGATCGTCGCCAGAGTTCATTAAAAGAAAGAAAAAGCAAAAACCTTCTAAACTGGCTTGCATATACATTGACTTTGTTAGTAAAATAACTATTTTTTTCCCGTATGACATAGGATACGAAATGTCAATGATATTATTTCTTCTCGATTGGTCCTTGTTTAAATATTTCAAAAAGGTAATACTTGACGTTTTGTGCTATAATTGGAAAAATCAATCCCAAATAAGAAAAATATGGACCACTCAATATGCATGAGAAAAATATCTTATAGAACTTAGAACATAAAGTCTAATTTCGGAACCGACTATTTTTAGTATACAGGACATCACAATCAATTGTGTCGGTCTTGAATATATGTGTCGTTATATAGATATGAAGACACTTCTGTCTTGAAATTTTAAGATGCGTGTGGTATACAATATAAAATTAAGTAGATATGATTAAAGCATGTAAAATTAAGGTACGTTTGGTACACAATATAAAATTAAGTAGATATGATTCAAGCAAATAAAATTAAGGTGGATAGGATTAACTATACTAAAGTGTATTTTAACTATTGACCTCAGTTTTTGATTGGATAGCACGCCAATAAATTTCGGCTCCACTTGTTCAAGTGTAAGGGGTTCAGTACACTTAGACAAACCATTGACGTAGCTGGTCTTCTTCGAAGGATGGAGATGTGACCATGAGCACTCCAACAATCAAGTTAATCAATTATAGATGTGTATTCTAGGTATAGGGCAAACAAATGGCATGGGCCACAATGATGTTTATGATATCGAGCTCAAAAGAGGATACCAAGATAAGTTATTGTTGAGAGTGTAAAATAACAATATTGTTGGATTTTATAACCCAAATTAAGTTGGATTCTTTTTGGGAATGATTGGAGTCATATACATATATAATGAAATCACCAAAGATAATCTCCATGATAAAATAGTGATGATTCGTTATCACTGGAATGCACATATGCCCACAACCATTCCATGACTTTTTCTCGACACTTGATCACATCCCTATGATCTACTCTAGCATATATTTGGGCACTGTGTACTTATGACTGATATTCAATGATAATGGCATTAGGAACTAGGTGCTCAATATGACTCGATCATAAATGTCAAATAGTCTTGGATATTTTTGAGCCTGATCGCATAATAAGTCTATAGTCAGGTTGACGTGCTACGTCTGAAAATACCAATAAAAAAAAGATGGAGTTATTTCATTTAAAAAATAAATAATTGTGTATATATAATAAATAACAATATGGTTATTTTACTTACATCATCGACAAGGCAAGCTCTTAAAGTTGTGATGTCATGAAAGCACTTTTAAGTGTCCTAGATCATTGTTTGAGCTATCGTGGGGCTAGCTCTAAAAAAAAAAAAAGCAGAAAAATGTTAGAAGAAGTATATATGAATTAGCACAACGTACTTTACTAGAATTATAAAATACTTACCAGGGCATAGTTTTTCTCCACTCCGTCTAGAATGCGTTCTACTTGACATGGTCTATCTCATGAAAAAGATACAGTATGTCCCACCGATGAACGTCCTCCTTTTTGCCTCATTCGTGAAGAGAGAATCGATGTACTGCGATGACAATTTCAGTCTCTTGCCCACCACTTGCTCCGACACATCAACAACACGCTTCTTATCCCTTGTCATGTCCGGTGTCCTCTCCTTATTTGCCACCCCTCCGTCCAAGGATTTCCTGTCCCTCCTCTACCTCGAGGTCACCACCTTCTCTTTCATTGGGGCCACCTCCTCCATCTCAGGCACATCATCCGCCCCTACAACCATCATCACCTTTATTATCTCGGCCACCTTCTTTTTCCTATTTTCTTCCACCACTTCTCCCGTCCCCATAGGGGCCACCCCTTCCCACTTCATAGATACCAAAAATGATTCAACGGATGATCATTTATCTACAACTATGGGTGAAGGATGTGATCCCCTCGACGGAAGTGATATTCAGGGCAAAGGTGATCGACGATTAACTAGGCTGTACTCCTATAAAAATAACAACATTAAAAATTATCAACTTAATTAAAATAGGATAACTCATACAAAATGATAATCAATAAATTATATTCAATTCACATACCCAATCTTAGTCCAGAACGGAATCGAACATCTGATTGTTTTGAGTATACGAAAATGCTAATTCACGCACAAAACCTCGACCCTCCTCCTTCGTCTACGACGTCAACTTAGTTAGGACTTCAAGCTGACATATTGATATTTTCAACTAGTTAATGATCATGCGTTGAGATTTTAAAACAACATGCAATATAATTCACAAATGTATGGTACTCACTTGAGAATCATTGAGGAGAGCTAATAACTGTTTGTTAGATGGACAAATGTCTGCTCAGAATGCTCATCAATGATGCATTCGAGGGCCGCGTGTCTCCTCTCGTCTGACAAATCGAGTACCCAAGAGAATGGACAGTCTTATATGTCTAGATCCACAACACATGATTATTCTATATAAATTTAGTATAAAAAATATTTTAATGTTGATCATGTTAAACATTTACGTACATTGTCAGGGGCAATGCATAACTAATGTACTTACGTAAGGACTCTATGGGCTTTGAATGCGATCTAGTGAAGACGTATATGGTGTCCTCAAAATATCTCCGACCACATGGATAGTTGTTGAAGGCATCGATGTCATCAACAATTTCAAAATGAAAAAGGTCTATCGTAGTCTTTTTTGTTTTACCATGCTCTCAAGAATATAGAACAGTCTTAGCTTCAATTTCTCCAACATCTGGTTGCACTACCTGATTGCACTAGCCAACTACGTTAGAAGAACCATCCCTATCCTTGAAAATACGCGTCGTACAGCCTATTACATCTTTGAGTACGATCGCGAGCTGCTTTCTCGTGGATAATCGTCAATCTAGTCATTACGATAAATTCAAATACAGAGGAACTAGTGACCATGCCCCCTAGGTGGAAGTAGAAGGCATCGTCGTTTGCTAGCCTAAGTAGCCGACATAATAGTACATCAATGATTTGTCCAGAGTAGTGCACCTCTTTTAACTGATATAGAGATCACAGAATTTAAATGTTAGAGCATTCAACAAAAGATAATGGAATAAAGTATAATTTCAAAAAATTAAGTGAATCGAATTGAAAATAAAAGGAAAAATAAATTAAAAAATTAAAAAAATTGAAAATTGAAAAAAAATTGAAGAGTGTTTAAAAAGTATATTCAATTAAAAGAATTTTAAATTTAAAAATAAAAGAAAAGTAGAATTTGGTAATGTGGTTAAAAAGAATATATAATTTAGTAATCTTCAATTTAAAATTTTTTATTTCATTTAAAAAATGGATTAAAATTCTTAAATTAAAAAAATTAAACAAAAGGAAATTATAAAAATTCAATAAAGCTTATAAATATTATTTATAATTAAATTGAAAAAAAATTAAAGATCTGTTTAAAAAAATGTTTAATTAAAAAATTTTGAATTGAAAAAAATAAAAGGAATTTTTTTTGATAATTAGGTTAAAGAAATAATTAATTTGATAATTTTCAATTTAAAATTATTTATTTAATTTTAAAAAATTAAAATTTCTTAATATAAAAATTTAAAAAATATATCTAGATCGATTGGTTTGATAACTATTAATAGTCGGACGATTGTTAACAATCAACGATGCCTTTTTCTCGTCGTAAAATCGCCATTTTTGAAGGGAAGTTGCTATTTTTTTTTTTTTTTGGCAAATTTAAGACTTCACACTCATTACTACACTTAATAATCTACCTAAATAATGAAGAATAAACATTATAAATTCGCAAATAAACATCCATAAAATCCACAAAATTTTGAAACATTGTGAATGAAAAATCAATCTCATAATCCACAAGAAAACTAACCTAGTTGAAGATAATGCCGTTGGCGATTGGGTTGTGTGGTAGTCGGTTTATGAGGATGGCAACTTCGATTGTATCCCGACTGTTAGAGATTGTGTGAGTTTTTTCTTTCTTTTTTCCTCTCAATTTGTTTTTACAAAGGATGATTAGGGCATAAAAGGCTTTTGGTAAATAACTTTACAATTTAAATAATTAACTATTTTTAATGATTAAATGCCATTATAGAAATATGGCCAGGTCAACCGACCATTTCCATGTATTTACTCATTTTGAGGACCCATCATAGTAAATTGTGGAGAGGTAATTAGTACCTATATCGTACAACAAAAAAAAAAAAAAATCATCAAATGAGAAATATCATGCTCATGATCAAAAGCTAACTGTAATGGAGAGAATTTTGTTAAGTTTGTTGGCCTAATGAGCACAAGTGATGCTGTATTGCTGTTTGTAGAATAGCATGATTCCGAACAGAAACATGAAGTTTTGTTCTCATAATTAATGGTCTAACAATTAATTGAGGATGTTTAATGAATAAATCCACCATACCATTTTGTTTATGAACTTGGTGAACGTGATGATCTACTTTTCTCCCAATTGATATAATATTCATTAAAATTTTGGGATGTAAATTCATTAGCATTATCAAGATAAAATGTCTCCAATCAAGAAATTGTGCTCTGAATCAAATAGCTTGTGTAAGTGATCTTCTAAACACCATGTTGAAATTTTGTAATAAACGTACATGTGACCATTTTGGATATGCATATTTTAAAATCATAAAAATATCTACATGGATGGTGCATGAGTACTCTAAATACGATTCAGTCCCAACTTAGCTAGTGATGGTTTAATGACCAATCTGCCCTGAGAATAAGCATCGCATGAGAATTCACTAGATCAAAAAATCTATTGGTTCTTCTACTAATGTCTAATTCAATTTTTGCTTCATTATTGATCTGAGATAGCCTAATCGTTCACGTCACACTGTAAAATTCTTCGAATAATTGAACTTATAATGCAATATAGCGTGCATTTCAATTGTACTAATATTTATAGCTTATAAATTAAAAGAAAATATTTGTAACCTTTTAAATACACGTTTTTCACATGCGACATTAGAAGTAATATGTAGATATTTTATATTACTCTCATCGACAATCTCAACACTGTAGAGGGCTATCCTATATTTAAAATTTTTGTCATAGTGTACCTGTTCAACACGTTGTCCATTAAGGTCTCCTCTATCAAACTTTCTCATATCGATACAGCATATGTATATGGGTTCCCGTTCATATAATAATCCGTTGCATCAGTTAGCTTTTCTTGATATTCCAACTCAATCGAAGTTATCTGGGAAAAAACTGTCTACTGATTGACCATGCAGTTTGTAAAGTATGTTTTTAGTCAATTGCTTACCGTAGCTTGCTGAACAAAGTTGTTCACCATGGCTTTCTGTGTCAACAATAATTTTTTCATTTTTACATAAGATCGGAAAACAATTTATTCAACGTCGTCTCCCAAATAGTTGGGACACTTCTATATATATATATATATATATTAAAGAAACAAAAGCATGTTTTATTTATGAGATGCATCACAACAAACACTAACAAGATTCACAGCAGATGATCTTCCTAGGATAAGTCGTTGGTGAAAGGATCAGCAAATAAGTAGAGGTCTTCTTTTCTTGATGCAGTCATTCCACTGTTCTCGATCATGTTTAAATTATCTGGACTGATTCCTTCCGGGAGTTTCCAGTCGAAGTTATAGAGAAGTTGAGCTAATGGAAGCTCAACGCCAGTTAAACCAAATGTCAATCCAGGACATATTCTTCTTCCTGACCCGAACGGAAGATATTCGAAGTTATTTCCTGTCAAATCAATAGGGTTGTTCTCAAATCTCTCTGGTTGGAAACTTTCTGGGTTAGTCCAATACTTGGGATCTCTTCCGATTTCCCACGTATTTACGAACACTTTTGCATTGGCAGGTATAAAATATCCATTGACTTCACAATCTTCTCTGCTAGCTCTTGGAATAAGAGGAAGAGGAGAATGAAGTCTAAGAGTTTCTTTTATCACCAACTTTAGGTACTTCAAGTTTTGAGTATCAGTGGTTTTTTGTCTATTGAAGGTTTCTCGAACTTCAGCTTGTGCTTTCGCCATTACACGAGGATTCCTCATGAGTTCTGCCATTGTCCAATTGATTGTCGATGATGATGATTCTGTACCAGCAGAGAACATTTCCTACAAAACAAAATCACAAATCTTTAATGAAAATGTCGCAAATGAAAGAAAATAAAACCTTAAGAAATTGCCAAATGTCAAATTTAAATAAATAAATATATCAGCAGTCTCCGTTTAAGCTTTTGCATGAGATCGATAGTTCAGCATACATATACTTACAGAAATAACAGCTTTGATTTTGTCATTGTCAATTGGAAACTGGAGTTCACCACTCTCTTTTATTCGTAGGAAGACATCAACTAAATCTTCATTGCCAAACTCTCCATTTCCCTTTCTTTTTGAGTCTCCAGTTTGATCTAGCTCTCCATTTCCATTACTCATTTTTACCAAATTTTCTCTGTGTTCACCAATTATACCATCAAGAATCTCATCAAGCTTGCGACGCATTGCCAACAACTTTAGCTTATTCCAACTAAGGGTTTTAAGCATCTTCAATGAAGGAAACAGATCGGCAAGATCAAAGCCTCCCGACAAGGCTAAAGCTTTCCTCATTATTTTTATCAGCGTTTCTTTATCCTTGCATACCTTACCAAACGCCGCTCTGCAAGTCGTGGCACTCATTGTCGAGATAATCTTTTCTGTGAGATTTATTGGTTTTCCAGCAGAAGATCTAATAGATTTGACGAGATTAAGAACCTCATCATTCCTAATGGATCCAAACGATTTCACCTGCTTGGCACTTAAGAGTTCTAAAATGCATATTCTTCGCATTTGTCTCCAGTAATCATCTTATGGACTAAATGAAATGGCGGCATGGTTATAGGAAATAATTTCAAGAGCTAGAGTTCCTGGCCTAGCTGCAAAAGTAGGATCTTGAGTTTTCAATACCTCTTTGGCGATTTTGGGTGAAGATACGACAATGGTTGAAGTTTCACCGAGCTTCAAGTGCATTAATGGTCCATATATTTTGGCTAAATCTCTGAAAGAACGATGTGGAAGTGAACTTACGAGGTGCATGTGTCCAATAATAGGCAATTTCTTGGGACCTGGTGGCAGTTTTTTACCATCTTTGGACTTCTTCCATTTGGTGAGAAACAGGAAGACCAAAGGTAGAAAGAGAGCAAAAGTTGTAAAGCTAAAGGGAAAGTAGAGATCCATTAGGGCAAAAAAGAGAGAAGGGTTTCAAGGCTCAATGCTTTGAAACACATAAATACACGAATATATATAACCATTAGAAGCTAGGATATATACATCGAGTTTTATTTTATTTTATTTTGAAACGGCACGTATATTGATTTTGTTAGTCAACCTATGGTAATGTCAAATTACAGGATTTCTTCTTGATTGTTTAATTATCGATCTCTAAAAGCTATTTCTTGATGTTTTGTGCTATACTTCAAAAAATCAATCTAAAAATATGGACCACTCAATATGCAAGAGAAAAAAAATATCATAAAAGCTTAGAACAGAAAGTCTAACAATGACGAAAAGTCCATTACATCACAAATTTAGGTAAGGCTTGAATATGTGTGCATTTAGATAGGAAGACTATTTCTTCGGCAATACAGAAGAAACATTTTAAGGTGCTTATGTCAAATTGAGTAGATATGATTAAAGTAAATATAATTAAAATATATAAGATTTAAGATGGATAGGTTTAAGTGGATTAAGGTGTATTATTACCATTATGGGTTTGGTGCATCTTGTTATTCTCTCATGGAATGTTTGGGACGCTATACGATTAAGGGTTATTTTTATTGAATTTGACTAAGACATCGTAAGCAACTCTGATTAATTTAGTTTGGAGTATTATTTAGTATTTACATCAAACTAATATCACATTAAAAATAATTTTTATCCTTTATTACCAAGGACAACCAAAAGTTAGGGAATACTCCCTCGTGAAATTTTAACATGCACACACAAATCTTGGAAATAAAGTTTTAAAAGTTTGGCTAAATAATGCATTGGAGGAAAACTGAGAATTTTTTTGTGGCTAAGAAATGCTTGCCGCGCGGTAGGGTTGTTTCAAGGAAGAAATCTTATCCATAAATTGAAGTTTCACATTAGAATATGTCAAGTGACATAACATTAACTTCTAGGAATAATTTTACAGAAAACCAGATAAGAATGAGTTAGCAGCATATTTGGAGTTGATTTTAATTCATAAAATTCTCAAGTTACAGTATTGGAGTCATTGACAAGCTGCTTATTTTAAACACCTAAAATTTAACTTTTGAAAAAAATACATAAAAACCCTACTCCCTTATTCGGACTTCTATTCTTATGTAACTATAGTGTAAAGAAGTTGGAGATACGAGTATCGCAAATTGAAAGTTGGGCACATAACTGTCACACCTGTCAAAAGTTGAGAACTTGTGCATGCATATTAATTTATCACTTAGTTAAAAAAATATCTTAATTATATATATGCTAGGCAGGCGATGTTGAGGAAAGTTAATTGAAAAACAAAGTAATGATCGATCCCATCCTTTTACAACTTTTTGGACATCTAAAGAAATAATATGGAAATTGTTTCAATGCACTGGTTTCATTATTCGTCGAAGAAATAAATATTTGTTTTCATAATCTAATGTACTAATTACTAATCAATAAATTTAGGAACGAAAATTAATATGTTAATGAAAAGCTTTGAGTTCGATAAATTAGTTTTTCACCATACTCGTCAACCTAACATTGTTTTACCTTTAACAAATAAGAAAGATTAATTTTCTTACTCATTTCATGTCTCACCTATTCTTACTTTCAATCACTTTTCCTTCCTATGTGCATTAATGAAACCTTCTATGAGGTAGATAAATTGTACTAGGTTTAGTAGAAGGATGATACTACACGAATATATATAACCATTAGAAACAAAGATATATCCATCGAGTTTTATTTTATTTTATTTTAATTTGAAACAGCATATATATTGATTTTTTTAGTGACCCGATGACAATGTCAAATGACATGATTCCTTCTAGATTGTTTAATTATCAATCTCTAAAAGCTATTTCTTGATATTTTGTGCTATACTTCAAAAAATCAATCTAAAAATATGGACCACTCATGCATGAGAAAATATATCATGTAAACTTAGAACATAAAGTCTAACAATAATGTAATGTCCATCGCATTACAATAAATTAGGTAAGGCTTGAATATGTGTGCATTTAGATAGGAAGACTCTTTCTTCGGTTGATCAAGCTATGTGTATAGGAAACCAATTCACAGAATTCATACGGAACTCCCATAGTGGAGGTGTTGGGTGACTTTTTGGGCATTTTTTGTGGGGGGGGGGGGGGGGGGGGGGGTGGGGTGAATTTTTTGGCATTTCTTTATCATCACATGGGGTCCATTCGTGTGAGTTTTTTGGATGAGTTCTGTGACAAAGTCTTTTGTACAAAAGGCTTTACACTTCTTCGGTAATACCGAGACATTTTAAGGTGCTTATGTCAAATTAAGTAGATATGATTAAAGCAAATAAAATTAAAGTATATAAGATTTAAGATGGATAGGTTTAAGTGGATTAAGGTGTATTATTACCATTATGTGTTTGGTGCATCTTGTTATTCTCTCATGGAATGTTTGAGACGCTATACGATTAAGGGTTATTTTTATTTAATTTGACTTAGACATTGTAAACTACTCTTATTAATTTAGTTTGTAGTATTATTCAGTATTTACACCAAACTAATATCACACTAAAAATAATTTTTATCCTTTATTACCAAGGACAACCAAAAGTTAGGGAATACTCCCTCGTGAAATTTTAACAAGCACACACAATTCTTGGAAATTAAGTTTTATTTTAACGTTAATCATGCTACCTTCATCATGCCACTTTAGTTATTTATTTTTATTTTTTGGCAATAAATGTAGAGCCTCATTCGATGTTTTGTGGCTAAATAATGCATTGGAGGAACACTTTAGCTAAAGCATTGGAGGAAAACTGAGAATTTTTTGTGGCTAAGAAATGCTTGGTGCGCGGTAGGGTTGTTTCAAGGAAGAAATCCTATCCATAAATTGAAGTTTCACATTAGAATATGTCAAGTGACATAACATTAACTTCTGGGAATTATTTTACAGAAAACCAGATAAGACTGAGTTAGCAGCATATTTGTAGTTGATTTTAATTCATAAAATTCTCAAGTTACAGTATTGGAGTCATAAACAAGTTATTTTAAACACCTGAAATTTAACTTTTGAAAAAATACATAAAAACTCTACTCCCTTATTCGAGCTTCTATTCTTGTGTAGCTATAGTGTAAAGAAGTTGGAGATATGAGTATCAGAAATAGAAAGTTGGGCATATAACTGTCACACTTGTCAAAATTGGGTACTCGTATGTGCATATTAATTTATCACTTAGTTAAGAAAAAAATCTTAATTATATATCCATGTTTTTATGCTAGGCAAGCGATGTCGAGGAAAGTTAATTGAAAAACAAAGTAATGATGGATCCTCTCCTTTTACAACTTTTTGGACATCTAAAGAAATAATATGGAAATTATTTCAATGCACTGGTTTCATTATTCGTCGAAGAAATAATATTTGTTTTTATAATCTAATATACTAATTACTAATCAATAAATTTAGGAACGAAAATCTATATGTTAGTGAAAAGATTTGAGTTCCATAAATTAGTTTTTCACCATACTCGTCAGCCTAACGTCGTTTTACCTTCCTACAAATAAGAAAGATTAATTTTCTTGCTCATTTCATCTCTCACGTATTCTTACTTTCAGTCACTTTTCCTTCCTATGTTCGTCAATGAAACCTTCAATGAGGTAGATAAATTATACTAGGTTAAGTAGAAGGATGATGCTGTAGGAAAACAAGTCGCTAGTGGATGAAACCAATTGTATAAGTTTTATTCAAATACAATAGCCGACTATTGAAATTAATAACCACAAGACAAACGATTTCAATTTATAAAAAAAAATTCTGAAAAAAATTCCATTTCAGAATTTTCCAACGGCTGAAAAAAAATGTTTAGCAACATAAAATCAGAAATATAAGTTAACTGTAGGCTAAAACTGTAAACGATGAATCTGGAAGCTGCACACTATGAAACTACAAATTGCATGAATTAAATAGTAATACGAAAATAATCTGCAGAAATAAATGGAAATTGATGTGAAAATAATCTGCAGAAATAAATGGAAACTGAAACTGCAAGGATAAACTGAATCTGCAAAGAAACTACACGAACTGCCACGAAATAAATCTGCACAAAGAAAACACAAACTGCAGCAGATTTCAAATCGAGGCCTGTGCGTGCATAGTTTCGTTAAGACAATTTCGCCCCCTCACCGTAGGTGTTGGAGGTTTAGTTCGAGCGGCTGTCTCCCATGATACAACGGTAATAAGCAGAATTCGAGCACCACGGTCCAACTTCGACGAACTGCACATGACTAGAAGGGAACAGAGACTACACTGTATGGAAACTGGAACTGGGAAAAAACCAACACTGCGTAGAAAACTGGGAAGAATATTTTCGTATCCAGAGAGAGATTTTCGTTCGTGTGTTGAACTGTTGGAATGAGTGTCCCTTATATAGACGGAGTCCTGTTCATTGGAGTCACTGGAGTTACGACATTAACCACTGGAGTTTCAGCTTTTCAGTTCTAGCAATAAACATTGGGAGTTTCTGTAGTTTAGAAACTCAAAAGTCATTGGAGAAAGCCAAAAAAAATTGGCAAAACGTGGGCTCTCCGATGGGGCCATTTTTGCTTTGTTCGGTCCAACATTCGTTGCGCAGGTCACCCCACACCCAAGTTTAAGGTCCGAAGGCCATTTTGGTTGGTAATTTGCACCCCCTTGCGCGCGCATGTGGAGAGAGCTTCTATACTACACATGATTACACATCTCCAAAACATAGCCATATATAAAGTGGTTTAAGTTTCCTTGATTTTTCTATGTGGGATAAATGCATTTTTTCCTACAAGACCAACTTCCAATGACCAACTTTGAGCTCCAATTTTTCATTTATCCAAGCTTCATTTTTGGTAAATAAATACATGAAATCAATGTTCTCGCGGAGGAGAACACATATCAACTTTGATATTCCACATTCACCAACGGGTCCCCTAAAAAATTGTGCCAAAAGTGAGCCGCTCACTCAATTTTTTCCAACAGATGCTACACAAATAGGGCGCCTCGTGACAGGGCTGAGGTGGTCAG